AAAATTATACGTATTAAATATTATTATTATTATACTGTACTAAACTAAACCAATTATTAACAACTATTTCAGGCAACGATAATGAAGAATTTCAATTGGGTATTTGTTTATTGAGCTTAGATTTGTCACTAATATTAAAATTATTCGAAAATGGTTAATGAGATCTAAAATTTATATAATTATTTAAAAATTATCATTATATTATTATTAATTTTTAATTTGTTATTGTTATACTATATATTAAAATAAGCTAACTCATTAACAGCAATTTCAAGTAATGAGTATGATAGAGAGGTTCAATCAGGTATATCGGATATTTGTCTATTAAGCTTGGATTTGTTATCTAATTTTTAATATATGATTTAATCTTATTAAATTTTAATTCATTAATATTTATAAAAGAAAAATCTAAAGGAAAACTACAAGAACATGAAGCTAGTCAAATTTCAGCAAAACTTGATAGAATAAATAATATTTTAGAAATATGCAATTGGCTAGTAAAACATCTATCTATATTGCAGTTAGCCAACCAAATATATATAGCATCCTCATTATCAATAGAAAATATTAGAACTTTTAATAAATCGTCAATGCTTTCATCTGCAATTTCGTCAAAAATAAATAATAATAGAGTAAGATTTATGATATTTTCTATTTTCTTTTTTAAAAAAAAATAAAAATAAATAAATAAAAATAATTTTTTTAGAATAGTGCATATATATGGGATAAAGAAATAAAATGTCTCTTTCTTAGAGCAAGATTTCCCTCAACAACATGTATCGATGAATTTGTTAAGAAAATATTTGGGTATCCACCCTATTCTAAAGAAGAAACAGAAATTTAAACTAAAACAAAAAATACGTTAAGTGATTTTCGGCACAGACTTAATCAATCAGTATTGGGTTATGTTAAATATTATAAAGAAATACAAAAAAGGTATATATATATTAAATATATATGTATATATTATAATTGATATCATGTCTGATATTTGTATTATTTAATTTTAGACAAGGTGCAGCATCGTTAACAAAAAAAAATATTAACAATTATATTAATGAAAACGTAACAATGAATGTTCTTAATAGGTTTATTGGAGGAACTAATCAAAGAGAGCTTCAAAAGTGTGGTGCAGTAAAAAAATTAGTGCAATTAATTTGTGAAATGTTTAAAATTCATTAGCAAGGCAAGAATATTGACCAAGTAAAAAACTTAGACAATTTAACCAAAAACATGCATGTATCATTGTCATAGTGGCATACAGTATGTGGAGAACATGTTTGAAAATAAGGGTAAGAGTGATCGATCATCTAGTGTCTTGTACACGTGATTCACGTGATGATTGATCAGAATTATGGGCGGTCGGTAATATGGTTGAGATACCGAAGTAAGATAATTAATATATCATGGATGAATCAATCATGCATTAATAAGTGATACAAAATAGTTTATTAGTAAGTTATGTATGAACAATCGAATAAAGTATGTAATCAATTAAAGAGACAATGGTTGTATGATCAATTATGATGTAACGATTAGGTCAGAGTATGTATATAAGGATCAAAGCGAATGTAATAAGAAAGAATGAGTTAACTTAGATAAGTTTTGCTTGTAATTAATAAATAAACCCCTTAAATTAAATAAAGTAATAGTACATATAGTAAACACTTGCCTTGTTTAAGTT